TTTAGGGCTTAGGGCTTAGGGCCTAAGGCTTAGGGCTCAGGGCTTGTGTTTTTTGAAGGCCCTTTTGCCATCAAGCAATCCACTGTGGGCTTAGGGCTTTGGGGCTTGGGTTTTAGGGTGGTCTGCAGTGTAGGGATTAGGGTTTTGGAGGAATTGGGGCTTTGGGAGGTTTAGGGTCGACGCTTTCATTTAGGGAGGCTTCAAGGTTGAGGGCTTAGGATCCAAACCCTGCGGAGCCGCGAGCAATTTTTGCACCCTAAACCCTAAACCCTAAACCCCCCGTCTGCAAGCGATACAGGCGCCCCTGCAAACAATCGTAGAAGCCGCCACAATAATCCATAAATCTCAGTATTGCAGCATTACCACTACATTAAAACCCTGAGCCCTTCAAGACCCCATCGATAAGAATACCAGAAGCTCCCAAAATCAATCCCTAAACCACCTTCACCCCAAGAAGCCTAGAACCAGCACACCAAAACAAAACCTTACCCAGGCACTTAAAACCACCCTCCCACCCACCCCACCCACCCCACCCACACCACCCACCCCGCCCACCCCCACACCCGGACACCCCTGAACCTCAACCCTGAACCCAAGAAAAACACCCCAAGCCCTACCCTAAAAACCCAGGAATCTTTGGCCCAGTTGCAGGGCGGCGAAGTGGAAATCCAGGGCCTCCCGTCGGCAGAGCATCCTTGAAGAAGAGCTTGCAGCTGATAGGGTGTCAGAGGGGCCCACAGAGATGTTGTTTAGGGTTTAGGGTTGGGGGTTTAGGGTTTAGGGTAGAAAAAATGCTGTTTAGGATACCGGTCTTCGGCTTGAGGGCTCAGGGCTTCAACCCTAAAGCCTAAACCCTAAAACCCTAAACCCCTATAAACCCCATAAACCCTAAACCCCGCAGCTATAGGGCTTCATAGGGGCTCGAATTGTTCCTGTCGAGTGTTGCCAGCATGTAAGCCGGGTCTCTCGGGGTCTCAGAACGGCCCTTACAGCGTTGGCCAAGGGTTTTACAGGGTTTGGGGTTTAGCGCTAAGAGTTAAGATCCAGGATTTGGGGCTTAGACCCTAAACCATTAACCCTAAAACGCTGAAACCCTAAACCCTAAACCCTAAACCGATTAAACCCTAAACCCTAAACCGATTAAACCCTAAACCCTAAACCGATTAAACCCTAAACCCTAAACCCTTTAAAGTGTGCCATGGAGGGTTTGCAAGCTGCCGCTCAGATGTCCCTGGGTTCAACGTTTGCCGATCAGGATTTTGATTTAGCTGCTCTGCTGCTTTCCGGACCCGGGTTTAGGGTTTAGGGTTTAGGGTTCAGGGTTTAGGGTTTAGGGTTTAGGGTTTAGGGTTACAGTATTCAAAACAAGTGCTCATAAGGTCTCTGCAGGGGTCGATTTGGAGGTTTCAAGAATGAGGAACCCCAAATTCAGAACGTAACTGAATAGCATCCCTGTCTTTCTAAAGACTCAACCCTAGACCCTCAAGCCCAAACCCTAAACCCTAAACCGTAGACCCTAGACCCTCAAGCCCTAAAGCAATAACAAAACCCAAAAAACCTTAAAGCCGACAAGCGTGAAAGGAAGTGCTCTTGGGGTTTAGGGGCGCCATAGGGTTTAGGGTTTAGGGTTTAGGGTTTAAGGGTTTAGGGTTTAGGGTTTAGGGGTTTAGGGGTTTAGGGCTTAGGGGCGCCTAAACCCTAAACCCTAAACCCTAAACCCTAAACCCTAAACCCTAAACCCTAAACCCTGAGGATTTGGGCGCCATGTGTTAGGGCTTCGAGGATTTCAGGCTTCGGAAGCTCTGGGTGTCGGGTTCGGAGCATGGGGTTGGCGGTTTAGGGCTTAGGGTTTGGGGTTTAGGGTTGAGGGTTTAGGGTTGAGGGTTTAGGGTTGACGGTGTAGGGGCTGTAGAGTTTTTGTCTGGGTTTAGGGGTTTTGCGTTTTCGGGTTAGGCGTTTAGGGGTTTATGTGTGAGGGCTTAGGCTTTAGGGTTTGGGGTTTAGGGTGTAGGAGTTAACTTTAACCGTTACCTCATGGGGCCCACAACAAAAGGCCCCCTGCACGGATGCAAGGGCCTCTTCCCATCGAAGTCTGGGTGGATGAGCTGAAGCGCATATCGGTCCTGCGCCAAGAAAGCTCGCCAGCCCTGAATTCAGGAATATACGCTCAGTCCCAGAATAAAGGTCCTGATAATTCGGTCCCGAAACACTACTACACAATGGACAACCAAAAGCCGCAAAGCCTAGAATCAAGAACTTGTATGTAATCACCTACGAATCGCCCCAAACCCTAAGCCCTAAACAAACCCCTCAACCCAAACCCCTAAACCCTGTGCCTTCTGGGAATCGAAATGCAGGACGTTTGCCCGAGCTTGGTCATACTCCTCGCAGCTTGGACGAAGCGCTTTACAAAGGGTTCCAATAGGGTTAGGCTTAGGTTTTAGGGTGGAGCATTTAGGGCATCGGGGCTTAGGGTCTAGAGTCGAGGGCTTAGGGTTGACGGCTTAGGGTTTAGGGCTTGACCCTAAACCCTAAACCCTAAACCCCCTATTGGGGTTTAGTGTCCTGGGGTTTAGGGTTTAGAGCTGCACAAGGGCTTCATAGAGTTTCGTGAGCTCGGGACGCTTGAAGGCTATGCAGGTGATTTACACAGGTTTAGGGTTTAGGGTTTAGGGTAGCTTAAGAAGCTGCGTAGGGGTTTAAAGGATGAGGGCTGAGGGTTGAGGGCAGAGCCCAGTTGAGGGATTCGGAGGACGAAAAGAGCCCTGAAAGGGTTTAATTTAAGGTTCAAAAACCATGTAGGGATTCATAGCATAAGGGTATAGGACCCCCACTTTTCAGGGTCATTTGGTCCTTGACGTTAGACAGGGGGTCACTAGATCTTGGGGGCTAAGGCTTAAGGTTGGCTTCAGGGTTTGGTGCTCGAGGTACTGGCCGAGAGCACTTCCAGCTCTTCCAAGCAAGATTGCCGTTTCGGGGGTCCTTCCTACACCCCCCCCTCCCTGCCGCCCAATGCGCCAGAAACCTTGTGTGGCACCCGGCATAAGAAACCCCAGACCCCGACCCCGAAACCGTAAATCCCTCAACCTTTGCGAGGCCCCGTTGTGTTTCAGTGATCCTTGCCGTGTCGGGCGTGGGGCCTTGGGTTTAGGGTTGAGACTTTGGGGTTTAGGGTTTAGGGTTTCGGGTTTATGGTTTAGGGTTTAGACTTTGAGGCAGGAGAAGCAGAACAGGGCCGCATAGGGTTTGCGCGTATATGTTACACAGAACTGTATTATGCTCAATTAGATTATGCGGTCCTGCCGCACCTCACCGCGGAAACCCCCCTGCACCCTAAACTCTAAACCCCTTAAACCTTTAATCCCAAACCCTAAAAGCCTAATGTAGGGACCATCATAATTAGAATAGGGTTTTGGGGCCCATTATACTATACTTATAATAAGGAACCCCCAAACTAGTATAGGAAAGTATTCCCAGAGAGCCCAATACTCCTTAATTAAGGAATATACCTTAAATTATAAGGGGCTTAATATTAGGATTTAAGGTATACTCCTTATTTAAGGGGTATTGGGCTCTCTGGGTTACCCTAAACCCTAAACCCTAAACCCTAAACCCTAAAACCGTGGCTCTGAAAGGCCCAGATTGCCTTCGTCGACTGAAGCGACCCCGGACGGATGGAGACCCGGCTTCCATCGAAAATCATCCGATTTCCGGCGTCCTAACTAAAGGAAGCTAGAGGTGGGGAGTTTAGGGTTTAGGGTTTAGGGTTTAGGGTTTAGGGTTTAGGGTTTAGGGTTTAGGGTTTAGGAAACTACAGGTGGGGAGTTTAGGGTGTGTAGGGCTTCTATAAGGCTTCCATAATATAGATAGACCTTCTATACGGCTCCCATAACGGTAGCTACCCACCTAGAAAGTGCTTAAGGGTTCAAAGGCCTAAGGGTTCAGGGGTCTAAGGCTGAGGGTTGAAGGTTAGGGGCTCACGGCTTCGGGTTGGGGGTTGAGACTTCGTTGCGGGTTAATGGAAAGCCGGAAGAAGGCTGTAAGAAAGAAAACTGCGACTCCAAGACTTGTAAACAGAAACCCCAAGCGAAGTAGCGCGACCACCCTAATTAAACAAGTCCTCCTACCTCAAGATGTAGGCACACTACGGGGCCGTTGAGGGTGTAGGGTTTAGGGACTTAAAGTTTGGGCTTGAGGCTTCAGTCAGGGTATTGGGGGACCCGCGACAATATTCGTTTACCTAGCGTAATTAATTACGGACCCTTGAGACTCCTAAATCCTAAACCCTTGTCGGAATGGACGTCCACTTCGCTTGAACAGCCTTCGGACGGGCGGACAGGATCACATTCCGGTCACTTTTGTCCGAAACCTTGCTGCGCCCTGCAGGGAAAGCCTGCACAGCGACGAAGTTTAGGGCCTCTCTAGGTTCCTGATAGGATTTGGGGTTTAGGGTTTAGGGCTTAGGGTTTGAGGTTTGGGATTAAGATTCCTGATAGGGCTGTCAAGGTTTAGGATTAAGGTTCCTCGTATTTGGGGTCCGATGGGTTTAGGATTAGATTCACTTTGAGGTCCCTCCTCGAAGAGGCTTGCTACGAGACCACAAGTGGTCCAACTTAGGAGCTAAGTACCCTAGCCCAAAAAAAGGTTAACCTTTTCAATTGTGGTAGGATTCTATAAACCCTAAACCCCAAAAGGTTAAAGGTTACCTAGTCAGCCACAAAACGCGCGCACTTTTCCAGGCAGGAGTTCACGCTCGCTTCTTCGGAACCCCGTCTCCCCCCAAACCAACGGAGCCTTCATCCGTCCCCCCGCAAACGGATGAAGGCAGCCCTTCCTAAACCCTAAAGCCTATAGAGCCTAAGTCTCTAAACCCTTAAGCCCTAAACCCCTAAACCCTAAACATAAAATCTCCTAAACCCTAAACCGAAAAAACCCTAGAACCTAAATCGAAAAAAAACGAAACCCTAAACCCCTAAACCCCTAAACCCCTAAACCCCTAAACCCCGAAACCCTAAACCCCGAAACCCTAAACCCAAACCCCCTTAAGCCCCTTGAGCTGGAAAGTTATGAACCATGGATCCTGAAAAAGCAACCTTCCCAACTGGGTTGTCCCTTACATGAGAGTTTCGAAAAATGAAACACCCAAATAGAGACCTGACATCATAGAGCCCTTATTTAAACAAAAGGATCCCTGGTAACCCTACCACTTCGAAACCCCACAAAAAGTCCTAAGCCCTACTTCGAAATGGAGGGTTGCGGCTCAGGAGTTGTCGACAACCGAAGAGCCGCGATGCACCGTCCACGAGCCTCGGGTTTAGGTTTTGGGTATTTTTCACGGTTTAGGGTTTAAGGTTTTGGGTTTGGGGTTTGTTCACGGTTTAGGGTTTTGGGTTCAGGGTTTCGGGTATAGAGTGGTTTAGGGTTTTAAGGTTCCGGGTGCTTCGAAATTAACACGTATGACATACATGGCTAGTACTATGAGTCCCGTATTGGGCCCCGAAAATCTAGGCTACTCTTGTACCACGGACCCTAATTTATAGAACCCCCCGCCCTTTTAGCTTGCAGGCTTTGTGATACTTCGCGCCTTTCAGGCAAAAGTAAACCGGAACCCTGCAAGGAACCATCAAAGAGCCCCGTGAAGGGATCTCCAAAGGGAACGATGAAGGTTCCCTTTAAGGGATCAATAGTATACTATGAGGGCTCCCTTAAAGGAGCAACCCCAAAGCCTGAACCCTAAACCCTAAGCCCTAAACCCTAAGCCCTAAACCCCAAGCCCTAAACCCTGAACCCTAAACCCCTGAACCCTAAAGCCCTAAACCCTACACCCTAAACCCCTAAACCAGCCTCTTTAGACGACGAACCCTTGGATTCTGCTCCGGGGCCTGGCTGCGTCAACCATGGGCTCGGCAATGCAGGCCGTCTCCTCGGCTGGTTTTAGGGTTTAGGGTTTAGGGTTTAGGGTTTAGGGTGTAGGGTTTAGGGTTTAGGGTTTAGGGTTTAGGGTGTAGGGTTACGTTTTAGGGTTTAGGGTTTAGGGTTTAGGGCTTAGGGTTTAGGGTTTAGGGTTTAGGGTTTAGGGTTTATCTATAATTCTACCATCGCTCGATAACAGGAGCGAGGGTTTAGGGTTTAGGACTTGGTAGGGGGTTTAGGGTTTAGGAGTTTAGGTTCTTGGGTTCAGGGTTCGGGATTTTGGGGGCACGCGTGGTGGATAGTTTTCGTGTTATGGTATGTAAACCCTAAACCCTAAACTGCTCCCGTTCGGAAACGCTGGAGATCAGGATCCCCGTGCCCGCTTGGGATGCTGCAAAGGGTTGCTTTACGGGTTCCGTTAGGGGCTCCTGGAAAGCAACAAGCCACCCTTATAGCAGCCCATTAAAGGAACCCTTGAAAAAGCCATGACAGGAAATCATACAAAGTACCCTTTAATAGTATCGGGTCCCAGATGAGGGGACCTACTTTTTTGATCCCTCCGAGGGTCTGCGTCAAGGCCGCACATCTTATGCCTTCTTAGAATTGATCTTGTCCTCACGTCGGAGAGCTATAGCCAATAACAGCCTAGGCTCGAGCCACTGGATGCTGCGGTCAAGCTCCTCCGGGAAGCGTTGCCGCGTAGTCTCATCATACTTGGCGATCATTCGCCGCAAATGAGGGCCTGCAGCTGCTACTTCTACTACTACTACT